TGTACCGGCATTCCAATTATCGACCTATAGCTTGTTCTCAACTCAGTTGACAAGGTGTGCGAGTCATTGCTCTGCAAGAAAGTTATGGCAACCAGGGATTCACTCTGGCCGCGTATAGAAAACAATATTGTTGCGAGATAACTTTAATAAGGCTTGTTGGGGATTAGAAAACAACTGTTGATAGGAAGGAAAGTATGACTGAATTATCCACTCATATGAGCACAGCATTTGACTTGCTGTGTTCTGCTCTAATGATTCAGTCACGTTCTTAAATCAAATGCGATTTTTTTTAGAAGAAATCTAGTAAAAAGAAATCAAGTAAAACTACAAGACACGCAAAGTGCGTGGAAGGAACAAACCAGGGGATGCACATTGGGTTCTTCCTTTGAACCTTTATTATGGAATCTAATCCAAAACCATCTCCCATTATATGCGGAATCAGAGAATCTTTTCATGTACAGAAACGAACATCATATATACATGCGTGCAGACTCGATTAAAAAAGATGTTCAAGAAAGAATGAGTGAAACAGAAATGGTCACGCGGTGGTACAAAGTAACTCTGTGTTTAACCCTTTAACTCCCATAGATGACCAAGATAGAACGTCTTCTGACAATATCAATACAATACCAAGCAAACAAGTGACGAGAATAAACAAAAATATCAATTAGGCGATTATTGCTTGATCCAATGTCAAAATCTCCGAACTAATATATGAGAGTTATGGGGCATGCAGTAAGGAGAATTACTAATGAGATCTTGGGAGTGAAAGGTTCAAGACCAATCCCACCAAATGTCAGATTATTGCCATCGATCCAAAGCTCTCTAAAAAGGAACCAGCAGACCGATCAGTTATTGCTTCAAATTGACAATCAAGTGATGAAATCCTCGGGTAAACTTGCAATTCTCGGAGTGACTATTGATGAAAAATTAACAGTTAGTGAACATATGAAAGGCATTAGCAGAAGAGCTAGCGGAAAGTTAAGCTCACACAATCACCAGCCTATTTCAGTATTCTTTACATGGTGAATTTCACCGCAGTTTATAATCGGATGTCTAAGGTTAGAGTATGACGAACAGACGTACTAAGAAAAGGTTTAGCTTCAACGTGAATTGCATATCGATTTGAAAACTGAAATGGATAATACAGAAGTAACGTAGAAGAAAATAAATGGTTAACATAGTTGCAGAAACAAAACAATTTCCAACTGGAGGAAAAAGAGTTATAGCCGGTGACTTCTGAGATACAGAAAACATTACAGGATTCAGAATATATAGTTAACAACAATAAAATCAAGAGGGAGTTAGGAATTAGTAATGAACTGTGAGAGACATGCTGCATCAACTGAACTGTGCCTAACCATTAGCAAGGCTGAAGTCAGTTTGCGATTCCCCTCTGAAAAATCCTAGCTACGCCCTTAATCCAGGAGACTTCTTTGCGGACCACTCGATTCGAAAAAAAAAACCCAAGAAAAAAAGAAAGAAGAAGAAAGAATAGCAAAAAAAGCAACCGACACGAACCAACAACTGTATCAGAAAAATTACCGCAGTGACCCAAAAGATAAATGCTCAGAAACAAAAAAAAAAAGGAAAACCAAGAGAAACATGATACTAAGAAGACGTATAAGTAGAAAAGACAGCAAGAAAAATTACGCAAGCAGTTCCTCGGCCCCCAAGCCAGTTCGAGAGTTACTCCTTGTTCGCCAGCTTCAAATCATACTCGGGGAGAAGTGCTAAATAAACATAAATAAATAGAAAGGAATAAAAAGAAAAAACAATCGACACGTGTCAAAACTACCAAAAACAGACAAAAAGTAAAAACCAAGTTAAAATGATGATATTAAAGGAGAAAAATAAAAAAGACAGCGAAAGCAAAATGCAGATTTCGCAGGGAGGAGTAACTCGGCCCGCAAGCCAGTTCGAGAGTTACTCCTTGTCCGCCAGCTCATACTCGGGGAGAAGTTATTCGGCCCCCAAGCCAGATTAAGAATAACTCCTATAGCGTGATTTGAACCTGCGACCTCGACGACCTCTCTTGCACTCGCGCGCGCCTACGATTGCCACTCTTGATCGCCAGTCTTTCATGACATCACCACGCCTCAGAGCGCATCTATACGTATCTTTGTAGCGTATCTTTGGACGACCAATTTGACATTTACCATCGTTCAATTCGCCAAACAGTAGGGCCTTGACTGCATGGCTCTCATCTTCCTTTCAAGATAAATGGCCTAAACTGTGTAAACGGTTTCTGACGAGCTTGATTTCTATATCCTCCAAACCAGCTCTAGTGAGGACTTCTTCATTGCTGATATATTGATCCCATTTAATCTTCAAAATGTTTCCGAGATGACACTGTTGGATTGTTCGAATTTGCCTAACTTGATGATAATGGAGGTTTCACCCCCGTACATTGACGTAGACAGGAGGCAATGTTTGTAAATGTTGATTTTGGTCTGATTTGTGAGATCATGCTCAGACAAGTGTGTGCATTAGGAAAACATCACCCACCAGTTATAACGATTTTTACCTAAATCTGTGGACACATTTCTTATATACACATTTCTTTTACTTTATGTTCACTTTTCATTTGACATAGCATTTATAGAACTCCATTCATAAGATTAATCAACAAAGACTTGTAATGTTATATTTTGTTAAAGGTGTTAAGGCGTTGAGTCTTCACCTGAATGTGCGAGTGGATATGTGATAAGTAAGGCTACATCACACTATCGGCGTAATCCAGGTCTTCCAAGTAGGAGAAGGGTGTCCATCTGATGCCCCTAAACTGATCCTCAGTGGTGCGCCGCATGATCCAGTTTACAATAAGACTGAAAAGCAATGTAGACATAACACACCCATGTTTGACATCAGTGTCGACTTCAAATAAGAAGTCACCATCACCAACACAGCAGGTAAAGTTGTCATAGAAGCTTTTGATGATCTCAACAAGGTAGCTGGAGATTCCATTCGCTCGAAGTATCTACCAGAGTCTGCACCAGTGCACGCTTTCGAAGGGCCTAGCAAAATCTAATATGTTTACATAGGGAGTTCCATTCGTGGTACTCTGTTTAATAATATTTGTCGGCGTGAAAATATTATTGAGAAAGTGGTAATAGGCGCTTCATGATGACTTTCGCCAAGATCTTACTAGGAGTGGATAATAGAAGAAATAAACAGAAAGAAAAAAAGGAAAGGGAAAAAAAGCAAGTAACAAGTACCAAGACTGTATCAACAAAAAAACACAGTGCACCAATAACATAATTTCTCAGAAAAAAAAAAAAAGGTAAAAAGAAGGAAAAAAAATGATGACATTAAAGGAAAAAATAGAAAAGACAGCAAAAGGAAAATGTAGATTTCGCAGGGAGGAGTAACTCGGCCCCCAAGCCAGTTCGAGAGTTACTCTTGTCCGCCAGCCAAATCATCTCAAATTCGGCCCCAAGGGATTAAGAATAACTTATAGCATGATTTGAACCCGCGAAGCCAGATTGCCGCTCGACCATCACGAAACTACATATTTAATAAGCATAAACTGTCGGTGTATGATTTGAACCCGCGGATGGGGGGGGGATGACCTTTCTTAAGAGTGCAATCGAGCGGGTCATAAAGGAAACTTTGATAAAAGGATGTGAAGGAAGTCTTGTTGAAGGCGGGCGGCCTTTTAGACAACAACGTTTCGTACACTTCCTAAAGACATTATCCAGGGGAAATAATGTTAAGGCCGGGTATGATTTTCACCTGAATTATCCATATTTTGGTGCAATTACGCAGAGCACATTGCATTTGACCTATGCTTGTTCTCAACTCAGTCCTCATTGCTCTGAATGATTCAACCAGGTTTATCGTTCTTAAAAACAAACGTTGCGATAACTTTTTTTGTTGAAGATTAGACAAAACTGTTGATAAAATGCAGAATTATCCACTCATGGAGGATTTGAGATGCTGTGTCCTGCTCTAATGATTCAGTATCGTTCTTAAATCAAAAGCGATCTTTTTTTTCGAAGCTTAGCAAAAGCAAAATGCAGATTTCGCAGGGAGGAGTAACTCGGCCCCCAAGCCAGTTCGAGAGTTGCTCCTTGTCCGCCAGCTCCAAATCATACTCGAAGAGAAGTGATTCGGCCCCCAAGCCAGATTAAAAGTAACTCCTAGAGCGTGATTCGAGCCCATCACCTCGGATGACCTCTCTTGCACTCGCGTGTGCCTACGATTGCCGCTCGACCATCTCGAAAATGCGCAATTAAAATGCATAATAAAGGAAATGAATCATTCCTTTTACTGAGAAAAGTGATCTAAACGAGGAAGACAAAATTAGCATTTGTTGTAATGGCGGATGGCTTCGTTTGTCGGGGCTAGGTAAACACGACGATTTGGACACTGCCCAAAGAGGTTCCCAAATGCATGCATCGATAAAATATGCTGTACGCCAGGTATCAAGCATTCTTACCTCTTTGGACGCATTTACTCTAGATTTCTTTTACTTTGGTGCAATTACACAATTGCAATTGTACCGGCATTGCAATGATCGACCTTTAGCTTGTTCTCAAATCAGTTGACAAGGTGATCGAGTCATTGCTCTGCAGGAAAGTAATGGCAACCATGGATTCATACTTGTATTACAAAATGGCTACGTACAGAAAACAACATTGTGGCGAGACACTTTAATAAGGCTTGTTGAGGATTAGAAAACCACTACCGATGGAAAGGAAAATGTGACTGAATTATCCACTCATATGAGCACAGCAATTGACTTGCTGCATCTTACTTTAAGGATTCAGAAGTTTACAGCATGCTGCTTTTCGGACACGTCCTTTAGTTAAATCTTTCTTAAAAGCTTAGAGGAAGCCAAGTAAAACTACAAGACCTGCAAAATGCGTGGAAGGAACAAACCAGGAAATTCCCACAGAGTTCTTCCTTTGCATCAAATATACACGACTGAGACTCAATCAAAACATAAGTTCAAGAACTAAAGAGTGAAACGGAAAAGGTCACGCAGTAGTATAAAAGTGAACCTGTTACAAGCCAATCCCAGCAAATATCAGATTATTGCTATCGATCCAAAGCTCTTTATAAAGGAGCTTGAAGACTAGTTATTGCTTCAAATTGACAATCAAGCGGTGAAATCCTTGGATAAACTAACAATTCTCGTAGTGAACATTGATGAAAAGTTAACATTCATTGAACATATAAAAGACATTAACAGAAAAGCTAGTCAGAAAGAAGGAGTGTTACTGAGGTTACATAATCTTATACCCTGTACTGCTAAACTGCAACTTTATAAATTTGCTATTCTCCCTCATCTAACGTATTGTGGCATTGTTTGGCACTTCTGTAAATCCTCCGACAAGTTTCAAACTTGAAAAAATTCACAAAAATTAAATTCACATTGAGAGCAGCTTTTAAATCAAGTACCAAGTCCTATAGTGTTCTGTCACAAAAAGCCGGCCTCCCTTCTTTGCACCAAAGATGAATACAAGAGATAGCCACTTTGATGTACATGACGCCTTAGTCAACCGCACTACATTTCAGAGTTATTTCAGAAAATTACTATAAGGATACTATCTTGACTTTTAAAGTGTTGACTTTAACATTCCTCGCATAACAAAAACACACTCAGGTGAACACTCGCTGCTTTTTTTCGAACCCCTTCTACGGTAAATTTAAGTTCTGCCCACCGTAAGAGAGATCGAGCTTAGACAGTTTTAAACAAAGCATTAAAAACTGAAAGACTTAACAGTTTTAATATATGAGTACAAACATGGCAAGAGAACATGACATTTAAAAAAATTCTACCTAACAGAACAGCAAAGACTTGTAATATTCGCGGCTATGCTGACATACGAAACGAACAGTTCACTTTCCGTCTATAAACATACCATCCAAAATACATTCATTTTGGTTCAAACTGAGATCCTTTAACAAGACACATAGATATACATTATAACACGGTCAAAATAAAGGTTTTACCAAGAATGGAAATAGGAAATTGTTTTTGTCTTGCTTTTTTTTCTGGTCTTAGTCTTTCTTTCTTTTTCTTTTTTTTTTTTTTTTTTTTTTTGGTCAATAATTGGACATAGACTAAGTCACTGCACGGAGATCCCCCCGCAAAATTTGACCGAAATCGTCGCTTCATAGCATTCTCAGTTCGGAAGGGAGATGTCGAAGACACTTTTTGACGCTAACTCCTATGTTTCAAGCTTAATTACTTATGGGCGACGATTTGAAACCAGGTTTGAAAAAATTCTAATTACACTGTCGCTGCCGGGGCTCATCAAACACGACGATTCAGACACTTCTCAAAGAAGTTTTCAAGTATTCGGATTGGGACAATGTTACATACCAGGTATCACACATTTTACCTCTGTGGACACATTTATTCAACAGACATTAATTTCAGGGGTTAATTATTCCCGTTTTACACATGTCTTATTCTATGCAGGCATAACCCTGACTTGGACTTCAAGATTTAGTCCTCGGTATGTTGAGATTGATGTTTACATCAGTTGGAGAGCTTGATGAGATGATGATGACACTGTTAGATTGTTCGAATTTGCCTAACTTTATGATAATGGAGGTTTCACTCCCGTACATTGATGTAGACAGGAGGCAATGTTTGTAAATGTTGATTTTGGTCTTATTTGTGAGATCATGCTCGGACAAGTGTGTGCATTAGGAAAACATCACCCGCCAGTTATAACGATTTTTACCTGGATCTGTGGATACATTTCTTATATACACATTTCCGTTTTACTTTATGTTCACTTTTCATTTGACATAGCATTTATAGAACTCCATTCATAAGATTAATCAACAAAGACTTGTAATGTTGTATTTTGTTAAAGGTGTTAAGGAGTTGAGTCTTCTCCTGAATAAGCAAGTGGATATGTGATGAGTAAGGCTACATCACACTATCAGCGTAATCCAGGTCTTCCCAGTAGGAGAAGGGTGTCCATCTGATGCCCCTAAACTGATCCTCAGTGGTGTGCCGCATGATCCAGTTTACAATAAGATTGAAAAGCAATGTAGACATAACACACCCATGTCTGACATCAGTGTCGACTTCAAATAAGAAGTTACCATCACCAACACAGCAGGTAAAGTTGTCATAGAAGCTTTTGATGATCTCAACAAGGTAGGGGATTCCATTCGCTCGAAGTATCTACCATGTGCACGCCAGTGCACGCTTTCGAAGGGCCTGGCAAAATCTAATCTGTTCACATAGGGAGTTCCATTCGCGGTATTCTGTTTAATAATATTTGTCGGCGTAAAAATATTATCGAGAAAGTGGTAATAGGCGCTTCATGATGATTTTAGCTAAGATCTTACTAGGAGTGGATAATAGAAAAAATAAACAGAAAGAAAAAAAGGAAAGGGAAAAAAAGCAAGTGACAAGTACCAAGACCGCAGCAAAAAAAAAAACAGTGCACCAATAACATAATTTCTCAGCAAAAAAAAAAAGGTAAAAAGAAAGAAAAAATGATGTTATTAAAGGAAAAAATAGAAAAGACAGCAAAAGGAAATTGTAGATTTCGCAGGGAGGAGTAACTCGGCCCCCAAGCCAGTTCGAGAGTTACTCCTTGTCCGTCAGCTCCAAATCATACTCGGGGAGAAGTTATTCGGCCCCCAAGCCAGATTAAGAATAACTCCTATAGCATGATTTGAACCCGCGACCTCGATGACCTCTCTTGCACTCGCGCGCGCCTACGATTGCCGCTCGACCATCACGAAACTACATATTTAATAAGCATAAACTGTCGGTGAAGAAAGTTTTGAAATACCGGGTTGGGGGGGAGGGTGAGGAACTTTGTCTGACTAATAGTGCAATCGAGCGTTTCCGGTCAAGAATAAAGGAAATGAATCATAAAGAAACGATAAAAGCGATGTGAAGGAAGTCAATATTAGCATATGTGGTAATGGCGGACGGCCTTGTCTACCGGGAGCACGTGAAACACGACGATTCGCACACTTCCTAAAGACATTATCCAGTATCTTCATTGGGATAATACTGTCGCAGGCCGGGTATCACGCATTTTCTCCTCTTTGGACGCATTTATTTTAGATGGCTTTCATTTATTTTGGAGCAATTTCACAACTGGAATTGTACCGGCATTGCAATTATCGACCTATAGCTTGTTCTCAACTCAGTTGACAAGGTGTGCGAGTCATTGCTCTGCAAGAAAGTTATGGCAACTAGGGATTTAATCTTAATCTGGTTTGTTGAGGATTAGAAAACAACTGTTGATAGGAAGGAAAGTATGACTGAATTATCCACTCATATGAGCACAGCATTTGACTTCCTGTGTTCTGCTCTAATGATTCAGTCACGATCTTAAATCAAATGCGATTTTTTTTAGAAGAAATCTAGTAATAAGAAATCAAGTAAAACTACGAGACACGCAAAGTGCGTGGAAGGAACAAACCAGGGGATGCACATTGGGTTGAACCTTTATTATGGAATCTAATCCAAAACCATCTCCCATTATATGCGGAATCAGAGAATCTTTTTATGTACAGAAACGAACATCATATATACATGCCCGCAGACTCGATTAAAAAAGATGTTCAAGAACGAATGAGTGAAACAGAAATGGTCACGCAGTGGTATAAAGTAACTCTGTGTTTAACCTTTTAACTCCCGTAGATGACCAAGATAGAACGTCTTCTGACAATATCAATACAATACCGAGCAAACAAGTGATGAGAATAAACAAAAATATCAATTAGGCGATTATTACTTGATCTAATGTCCAAATCTCCGAACTAATATATGAGAGTTATGGGGCATGCAGTAAGGAGAATTACTAATGAGATCTTGGGAGTGAAAGGTTCAAGACCAATCCCACCAAATGTCAGATTATTGCCATCGATCCAAAGCTCTCTAAAAAGGAACCAGCAGACCGATCAGTTATTGCTTCAAATTGACAATCAAGTGATGAAATCCTCGGGTAAACTTGCAATTCTCGGAGTGACTATTGGTGAAAAATTAACAGTTAGTGAACATATGAAAGGCATTAGCAGAAGAGCTAGCGGAAAGTTAAGCTCACACAATCACCAGCCTATTTCAGTATTCTTTACATGGTGAATTTCACCGCAGTTTATAATCGGATGTCTAAGGTTAGAGTATGACGAACAGACGTACTAAGAAAAGGTTTAGCTTCAACGTGAATTGCATATCGATTTGAAAACTGAAATGGATAATACAGAAGTAAAGTAGAAGAAAATAAATGGTGGAAAATAGTTAACACAGTCGCAGAAACAAAACAATTTCCAACTGGAGGAAAAATAGTAATAGCCGGTGACTTCTGAGGTACAGAAAACATTACAGGATTCAGAATATATAGTTAACAACAATAAAATCAAGAGGGAGTTAGGAATTAGTAATGAACTGTAAGAGACATGCTGCATCAACTGAACTGTGCCTAACCATTAGCAAGGCTGAAGTCAGTTTGCAATTCCCCTCTGAAAAATCCTAGCTACGCCCTTAATCCAGGAGACTTCTTTGCGGACCACTCGATTCGAAAAAAAAAACCAAGAAGAAAAAAAAGAAGAAGAAAGAATAGCAAAAAAAGCAACCGACACGAACCAACAACTGTATCAGAAAAATTACCACAGTGGCCCAAAAGATAAATGTTCAGAAACAAAAAAAAGGAAAAACCAAGAGAAACATGATACTAAGAAGACGTATAAGTAGAAAAGACAGCAAGAAAAATTACGCAAGGAGTTCCTCGGCCCCCGAGCCAGTTCGAGAGTTACTCCTTGTTCGCCAGCTTCAAATCATACTCGGGGAGAAATGTTAAATAAGCATAAATAAAACTACCAAAAAAAGACAAAAAGTAAAAATTAAGTTAAAATGATGATATTAAAGGAGAAAAATAGAAAAGACAGCGAAAGCAAAATGCAGATTTCGCAGGGAGGAGTAACTCGGCCCCCAAGCCAGTTCAAGAGTTACTCCTTGTCCGCCAGCTCCAAATCATACTCTTGCACTCGCGCGCGCCTACGATTGCCACTCGACCATCTCGAAACTACGTATTTAATAAGCATAAATTGTCGCTGTAGAGAGTTTTGAAATACCGGGTTGGGGGGGAGGGTGAGGAACTTTGTCCGACTGAGAGTACAATCAAGCGTTTCCGGTCAAGAATAAAGGAAATGAATCATTCTTTTGACAAATTAAAACATGTGTTCAAGAACTAAAGAGTGAAACGGAAAAGGTCACGCGGTAGTATAAAAGTGAACCTGTTACAGCCCCATCCCAGCAAATATCAGATTATTGTTATCGATCAAAAGCTCTTTATAAAGGAGCTTGAAGACAAGTTATATTGGATATAAACTACGTCACTTCGCGGAGATCTCCCCGCAAAATTTGACCGAAATAGTCGCTTCATAGCATTCTCAGATCGGAAGAGAGACGTCGAAGACACTTTTTGACACTAACTTCTTATGTTTCGAGCTTAATTACTTGGGCGACAATTTAAAACCAGGTTTGGATAAATTCCAATTAAACTGTCGCTGCCGGCCTCATTTGCCGAGACTCATTAAACACGACGATTCGGACACTTCTCAAAGAAGTTTTCAAGTGTTCGGATTGGGACAATGTTACATACCAGGTATCACACATTTTACCTCTGTGGACACATTTATTCAACAGACATTTCTTTTAC